GAATTAAAGGTTTTTCATGCGATAGGCTAGGATTAACTCCCATCAAATGAGATGGTGTAGGATTCTTAATGTAATGATGATAAACTTATGTTTAATAAATGTCTCGCATTTAATGCTTATTTGCAGCAAAAAAAAAAAAAAAAAAAATGAGTGGGAAAGAGGCATGACAGAATGGGAGATAAGGGTATGGGGTTGGGTACCAGGTCTGGTGTGGCACAGGATCAGATGCATCATATTATGCATCAGTGGAGGGTTAAAAGTATGTGAAAGTTTGTTATAAAACTTGCAGAACGTGATGATTGATTTGAGGATGCGTTGCAAGCAATATACAGTAAATAGTTGTAGAGTAGAATCAAAATATAATAATTGATAATTGCTAAATAAAGAAGTTCCCTGCTTAATTAAAATACTTAAACTTGTAAATTCACACAACAGTTTAATTACAAACTTACCTTTCTTGTCTGCAGATCGTCGATTGTATAGTAGATCGACAGGGCCTAGAATCAAGTTAGGGTAAACATAATTAAGGATGCCATAAGACAAGGCTGTGGTATCCAAGAGTCAAGCAAGGGCCTGACAAGTCTATACTATCGTAAGGTGAGATCCAGCCCGGATTAGCGACTGACTCGCCAGTAGTGATAACAATATGCATGATATCAATCATCCATCGGATCGTGCATATGGTTTCAGATTGGTTTTTCATGATTCCTACTAATAGGATTCTTATTCTGTAGTCACGGTAATGAGGTAAGCATTTCTCTTGTATACTAATAAGATTCTCATTCTGTAGTCATGGTAATGAGATAAGCATTTCTCTTGTATATTAATAAGATTTTCATTCTATAGTCACGGTAATAAAGTAAGCATTTCTCTTGTATACTAATGAGATTCTTATTCTGTAGTTACAATAATAAGGGAAGCATTTCTCTTGTATACTAATGAGATTTTGTAGGTACAAATTGGTTTGATATGAGAAGTTAGAAATGGTGGGTGAGGACTTACTTATCTAAATCAATATTTTAAATAAATTATTATAATGATCTATATATACAGTATATGTCTTCTTACTTGGCTTAGAGCTTATATAGAAGATATATTAAATCTGAATAGGGACTAATAGTAATAATGGTAAATAAATATATAATAAATAAACAAGTAATGTTTGGAAATTATAAAAAATTTTTTGGATTTATTTCAAGTATTGAATTTAACTTTATACAAATATCAGATGTCAAGGTTTTCAAGTTTTGAACAAGAATTTAATAATATTGTAAATAGATGAATTAATAATAAATATATAATTTGGTTTTAGATTAAAGAAAAATGATAAAAATTAGAATATAAGTGAGCTATTACAAATATAATTTTAATTTATCAATCTCATTTTTACTGTTTTATATATAAAATAATCAATAATATTCTTATAAAAACCAATATCAAAATTATATAATTTTTTTTTTTTTTTTTTAAAGTTGAAAGGTGCAGTAGCACATAATCTTTTATTGAGTGATTTATATCCAACAGTACAATACTACAAGGTCTATTTAAGTTAACCTGCGCCTTTTCATCTTTACATCCCAGATCTTGGCTCTCTCGCTTAATGATTAGCTTATATATGATCCGAGAGGCAAATCTATAGAGGGTAGAAATCCTACTACTAGTTTAAACTACCTAACCTATTCTAGATTCAAACTTAGAAGTGGAGGAATGATGCTTACAGAAGTCAGTTCAAATACCTCCTTTTACCTTATTACCTGAACCTCAGATTATAACTTGTACCAATTCTGGGCTTACACAAGTCATAACCTTTCTCACCACTTGTGGCAGGTGTTACCCTTTTAAGCTCTGCCCCGGATTGGGATAGTCCAGGTTAGGGCTCTGACTATTATTGGTTAACTGTCATATGGGATTGGTTAGGATAGAATACAGCCTTGTCTGTATATCTAAATGTTTGGTGTCCTTTTTATTCAGACGATTATTATACACTTAGCTGGACAATCATCACGCCATATCACCTTCTTTGGAAATCACAATCTCAATGCCCACTGAATTAGCATGTGAATCGGCTTCCTATGAGAAACGACGCATTTCAGGTTATGGCGCCAGATACCATATTAATTCTGTTCCACTGCCTTCACCTGGAGTTGAACCGGTATCTTGTAATTTGATCTGTGGAGCACTAACCACTATGCTATAGACCCACAGGTCTAAAATTATATAATTTTTGACAAGATTGAATAAATTTATATATGAAGTGATTAGTAATATTTTGGTTATTATAGACATTGAGATTCTAGATTAGTGTATGGTCAGAAAATTTAGATCAGTTATATTTGGATATATTATCTGAAAGTTTTGAATAATTTGTAATTTTAATATTTTATTAGAGATCAATTTATCTTTTATAAACTCAAGGTATATAACTTTATTATTAACAACAATTTTATTTTTTTTATTTTAGATAATATTTTTGCAAGTTCAAGTTATAATAATACAGTCTATAATTACGTTGACTTATAATTAATATATTTTTTAAATAAAATTTTATTCTTTATCACATCAAATAAGAATTCACTTTATAATTACTATCACCTATTCTAAATCAAAACTTAATTAAAATCTTTATCTATAATCATTAATTTCTAAATAAGGAATAATCAGTTTCATGTACATAATAATTATTTCCCAATTTCTTTTACTTACATTATTCTTGATTCTATAAACTGAATTGATGCTCTATAGGTTTGCATATTTAAAAATCATTATTTCTTTTTCTTAACCATTTATACAATTAATGCTTTTTGATAAACTAATATCTTTTATCAGATAAAGTTGAAAATTCTTTTTAGTTCCAATGAACATAAAATCATAATTTATGTATTTCAAAACTTAGTAATTTTATGTAAATCAAATTATCTCAATAACTATTAACATATATTTTTGTGTTGTAGTTTCCATTCTGATGTTATCATACAAAAAAAGTTCTTGAACCGACTTGTCAATGCCTAATAGATAGTAGTAATTATAACATCTTCAGATGGGATGGCTATTGTACACATCTGATTTGAGTTGTAGCATAGAAGACTTTCTTATTAAAATTAATTTCAATATAAGATATAAAATTTAGGAAAGGGCATTTCCATGTCTGTATTTCATGGTCATCTTAGACAGATATTGTATATTGCATAAAATTTAGATGATGAATATTTGGTTTTCATGGGATGAGATGACATAATGTGTTTCAACTAGGGACCATCTGAAAATAAATATGAGAAAGATATATACAAATTACATATCGCCTTGTAGCTCAATGATTTTTAATAGACATAGTCTATAAAAACTGTGAAATTCTATGTGCCTTTCTCCCTCACTACACTGACAATAGTAGGTATTGCGAACAATAGATTTATGATGGTTCGAGATGTAATTTTAGTAGAGAAATTCGAGTTTGATTAACTAATTGCAGAAAAAAAAAGACAAAAGTGATGCTAATTGACAAGCTGTTAAGGTCATAATTTTAGAGCCAAGTTCTACTCAAGAAGTATAGTATTTACTTTCGCAGAAAGAGAAGCGTGAAAAACAGAGATGGTAATGTTGATAATCTGTCGAACCAATATATGTGCATTAATATTCATATGGTCAATTATATAAGATCCAATAGGCTTTATTCCCTTGGTAATACAGGCTGCTCAATACATGATAAGAACATTTTTCTTTATTTTATCTTTCATTATCTTGTTCTTTATTTTAGCCATATCAAATTGAGAATCATCAATAAGAGCAACTTTTATTACTGAAACTCATTTCCTATAAGTATAAGTGAAATTAGTAAAGCAAATATTGATTTTGTCAAAAACATCTTTATAAATAGACATGTACCAGTTATGTTTTTTTCTTTTCTTTTCATCAAAGAAATGGATCAAGTAGTAATTGCCCTCTTTTTTGTCATGCCTTATAGTTTCTGTAACCTCAGATCCATTTGGGTCTGCTATCTGAAGACAAATTTTATTTTAATAAATTAATTTCATCTTATCAATGAGAAAACAAGTGTCAGGATTTACATCTTAGCAGGATACCAAGGAAATCCAGTCATTCTAGCCTATACTAAAGTTCCATAGTGAATGTTTAGATTTTCAATAACAGATGAGATGGTAGAACCTTTGCAACTTGACTGCATACATTCTACATTAGGTTTCATGTATAGGGATAGATATTCTTTTTTAACTACTTCATTTTGAACAGAGTCATTATTTTTCTTTATATTATTATTATGAGAACAAGTGTGATTCACTAGTAATAAATAGAATATAATATTACTTCTATACGTCAACCCAACACGATATCGTAAAATCATTATTAAAATTTAACATACCAGCTGATCTTTCTAATTTTTCTTGATCTACTTTCAAATTGCTCTTTAATTGACTTATAGTTTTTGTCAGAGGCACTTGGTTTTGTTGTTCCTTTATCAAATCTAAAATACATTTCTTCATCACAATGGAAGACTTTTGACTGTTTGGCTTTTTGACTTTTTTTTTTGTTTTACTGGGGTGTTCATCTGAATCCCTTAGTACTTTTCTGTTACTCGTTTACTATTTTAATCAACAGACCAGATGTTTGATTATTTAGAGGTATTATTGTTACCAAGGCCATTTGTATCAAGTGTTGAAGCCTCGATATTAGAACCTTTAGCAGCAGATTTATCTTCACCCTCATTCTCAGTAATATATATCTAACCTTTCAAAACTTTTGGTTTGTATTCTGAAGAGTCCAACAATTTTAATTTTTTATTCTGATTTCACATACATTTTGCTGCAGTGATGAATCGCGATTCTTGAGCTCAAGATTTATAAGAGATGTGACATTTCACCTGAATTTCGACTTCTTATTTTAATATGATTTGACTGAGAAGCAGACTTTTCTTTTTGTAGAAAAGTCAAAGATTTTGTGTTATAAGTAAATATTTCTGGATGAATGTGACAACCAAAATTTCTTTTTTGAGATCAACATGTAACTTGAAGTAATCCTTTTTAGCCTTTTCTACAATAGATTGACAGCTAGCATAATTTTCGATCAGACCTGAAGAACTTGTATATGTAGAACAAAAAGCTAAATACAATCATATACTATCAATTGAAAAGAATAAAAAGAAAAAGTCAAACAATTAGAATCAGCAAAAGAATTCAACCTGCAACCAAAGAAGAATACTATTTAACCAATAGAAATAGAAGATCTATTTGTTCATTATCAACCTCCTTCAATTAAAAATAGATTCCTAAATTAAAGGTAAGAATATAATTCAAATGTCTCGCACTATTAAAAAAGTTTTTTTAAAAATATAAGGTAAAAAAAAACCACCTAAAAAGGTTTTTTGCAATTTAGGCCATTTGATTCAAGTGTTTTTTGAATTATATTACTATTAAAGTAATGAACAAATAATTATATCCCTTCAAAAAAAACATAATTGATCTGTAATATTTTATATGCTAAATAATTTAAGTACTCATTCTTACCTCCAATACAATCTACTGCACCCAAGACAAAGAAGCCAAAAATGAAATTCCAACTGTCTGTAATTAATAAGCTTACACTATATAATATTTTTGAAGATATTCTCAAGTTGTAATTAAATATTACTATAGGACAAATGCTTCAATATTCTAACCAATGAAATAATCTTGTCAAGATCCTCAAGAGATCAAATAAAATAGTTGAAACCAATTATTTTTAATCAAAAAATGACTTAAGAAAGACATTATCAGCTAAATGCTATGTAAGAATTAAAGGAAATCCTGTGATCACTATTCTTGATTCAAGAGCTGCTGTCAGTATTATTACAAATTAACTGATGCATAAATTAGGATTGAAACCAGATATTTTATCCAAAACTATTATGGTTACTGCTAATGAAAACAGAGTCTATGCATTGGATCAAATTACTAAAACTTGAATCTATATTTAAGATCTGATTCTTCCAATTAAGCTTTAAGTTATTGAATCTAAAAAAAAACTTTTTTTTTAGGAGTTGATTGGTTCCAAAAAATGAAGGCCAAGTGGAATTTTAATTTCCAAACCTTATTGATTTAACATCAGGATAAAACTGTCAAGATTGCAACTATTTACTTTACTGATAAAACATCTCAATATATTATAGATTCAGAAAACATTGATAATAAACTTGAAAAAATTGAGTATGATAATAAAGACTTGGAAGAACAAGAGATCTACTACTCTGACTATGCTAAAAGAAATGAGAAATATAAAGAAAACAAAGAACTTGAATTCCAAATCGAAGAAAATCCAGTAATCTACCTTTATAATCACATGATTAATCAAGAAGCAATACCCAAAATTAATCTAATAATTGATGAACAACAAGAAGTAATTAATCAAATTATAAAAGAAAATAAAGATATGTTTGTAGAACATATCTTTAAAAAAGGTCAAACTCAAAATCTAGAAAGAACTACTGTGATTACACACTCTATTTATACAGAAAATGCAAAACCCATCAAGCAACATGCATATAAAACATTATTAGATCATCAAGGCTTTATCAAAAGTGAAATAAATAAAATACTAAAGAAAGAAATCATCAGTCTTACCTCTAGCTCTTGAATATCCCCAGTTATAATTGTGCCAAAGAAAAATGACAAGAAACAATTTTGTATTGATTTCCAAAAATTAAATGAAATTACAGAGAAGAATATCTATTCTCTTCCAGTGATTAATGACCTTTTAGATTTCTTTCAAGATACCGAATAGTTTATCTGTTTTGATTTAGCAAGTGAATACTGACAAGTAGTCATAAGTGATAAAGATAAAAAGAAAACTGCTTTCATCATAAAATATGAACTCTATAAGTTCAATATTATGTCTTTTGAATTGTGCAATGCTCCTACTACTTTTAATATCTCATAGATAAACTTCTTAGACAATATAAAAGAAATTTTGTTAAAGTATATTTGGATAATAGTACTATTTTCTCCAAAACATTTCAAAATTACTGTAACCATGTAAATATTATCCTAGATGTTCTTCATCAGACAAACTTGAAATTAAACATGGAAAAGTATTATTTCTTTCTTGTTAAACTCTTAGAATACGAAATCAGCCATGATGGATTATGTTAGATAATAATAAAATTATTAAAGTTATAAACTTTTCAAGATTAATAAACTTTAGACAACTTAGAGGATTTCTAGGCTTAGTATCCTACTATCAAAAATTCATTGCTAACTTCTCAACTATTGCCAAATCATTAAATAAACTTTTGAAAAAACAAGTACTTTTTGAATGAACTGAAACATAAGAAAGAGTATTTCAAATGTTAAAATGATACTTAATTTCTGTACCAATTTTAAGATATCCTGATTTCAATTAACCATTTTATCTCCACACTAATGCTTCTGGTACTGAATTAGGAGCAGTGTTTGCTTAACAAGAAGGAAAACAAGAATATGCTATCATATATGCTAGCAGAAGTCTAACCAAACCTGAGCAAAACTACTTTACTACTGAATAAGAATATTTGATAATCATCTGGGCTATTGAATACTTTTATTAATATCTTGAAACTAATCACTTTTATTTGGTAATTGACCACTTTGCCCTTCAATGATTAAAGACATCCGAACTCAAAAAAAAAAGAGCCAAATAGATTTTACATCTACAATCCTACAACTATATTGTTATTTACAAAGTAGGAAGAAAGCACAACAATGCTAATGCCATGTTATGCATATATGAAACAGAAGAACCTATTTATATGTTTCAAGAAGATAATGATAATTGAAACTTTAATCATAGTTTTGCAACTGCCAATTCTGTTGCACCTTATGATTTTCACCAGAAAAAATTACTTTACAAGTTGAATAGTTTATTGCAGGAAGATATTGTTCTATCTGCAAAGAAAAAGCTAAAGACCATTATACCATACTTTCTGCAACTGGTGTAAGAAATTATTTAACTGAAACAGATATTCTTTTAAAGATGAATATGCTTATAAAAGAAAACAAAGAGCAAATAATAACTAATTAATAATAACTCAATTTACTCAAATCATCCTAGATGAAATTTGTTCCTATACTCTCCCAAAAAAAAAATTTCAACATCAACTTTGTAATTATAACTTTTATCAAATTCCAAGAACAAGATTAAGTAATAAAGAATTTGAAAAATAAGTTCAACTGTCAAATGATTACTGGTGGATAAAGATGGGTCCCTAAATTAAAGGCAAGGATATAATTCAAATGTCCCTCACTATTAAAAAAGTTTTTTTTTAAATATAAGGTCAAAAAAAAACTACTTACAAAGGTTT